ACTTACTTAAGAGCCAATTTTAGGAAGGTGACATCTTCTTTTCCTTCCCCTTCTTCTTCAGCGTTTGGTTTTTTGGCATCCTCCTGTTGATATTTCAGTTCGTTTATGTCCGCTATCAACATTTTCCTGCCAAATACAAGAAGAGGCCAAATTCATGCACGCTGTTATGAAAGGGTACGTAAAAACAGACTAAAGAAGTTACAAAAACCAATCGCAACACAGGAAAATGTTACAAGGAGCCAATGAGATTTCAAAGTGAGACTAACATGCTGCCTGAAGCGCGGGAAAACACGAGTGACCGCTGGCTTTTTGGACAAATGACAGAACTAAGTAAAGCGAAATCATAGCAGTCCTAGATTATAATCCTGGGCCCAGGTGCTCGAAGGCCGATTAACGCTAACCCAGGGTTAATCCATAAACTGGGTTTCTTTATTCCTTTATTCAAAAGCCTTTTTGGAATAATTTTCTCTATTGCTTTTAGATCATCCAATCTTCAAGTTGCAGACAAAAAAAGAATTATGAAGAATTTTATTTTCATGCTTTCAGATCTGAAATCAAATTTCACACTAAGCCTGGGTTGTTTTAACCCAGCTTTGAACAATTGGGTTCTGGATTAAAACTTGGATACTTTACCTAGCATCGCACTCGTTCCTATATCTCAGGTACTCGGCAGCGAGTTCCTCTTGAAGCTGCAAAATGAAGAGTAATACAAAGTGCTGTGAGAACTGTATGCTTTTGTCACAAAACTTAATACTCTTTCTTTTTTTATAAGAACTTTTTTTAGTAATTTGAGCCGAAAACTTTCTTAAAATTTCCCCAAGTACTTGAGTTAATTATCCTGTAAGACCACAGTTTTACATTTCTTTTACCTTTATATTTATTATTCTCACAAAAAAAAAAAATGAGCAATGAGCCTGGGTATATTCTTAGTAAGTTCGTAAGATTTTGGTTAATCTCAGGCTAAACGATCCAATAAAAAAGGTCCATAAAAGGGTGTAATTTAATATGGTGATTAGTACAGTTTCGAAAACACAAACCAAACAGAACAAAGGTTATTATCATCATAAACCAATAAGAAATCAAGGTACCAATAGGCAACCTGCTTAAAGAGCAGGAAAACGCATTTGACCATGTGAGGATCAGTTTGGACTGTGGCGCGAGTATTCTGGACCAATCACAGAGCAAAAACGGAGCAATCTAGGATCAGTTTCGATATTCGATTAAAATCTGCTCTAAATGCATGCGCACAAGCACCATTTTGGGTAGAAAGTAAAGGAAATACTAATGTTAGTCGTAACGCGGGTTTGTTAGGTCAAGGCGATTCCTCAGTATTTACACTGTGCGTCTTCTACTGTTCATAAAAATCAAGTAATCAGGCGAGTAAGCGCGTGCACATTACGAGAACACGATATTGTTTTTCAATCAATGGACCAGGTGAAGAGAAACGATTGTCTTTAGCTCTTGAACGAGCACGGTGACCTATAGTTTTTACTGCATACCTTTGGTGTACAGATTATCCCCTTTTAAGGGAAAAAAAGATGTAACTAAAAGTGTGTACGAAGCCCTTTATTCGAGGATGCAAATGATGACCTTGAAAGCAACGACTCGAGGAACATTCTGAGTTGATGTCGTTTTAAAATTGCGTGATTTTTGCACAATATGTAAATCAAATTGCTCCATACGCTCGAGACTTTCTACCCATCAAGTTTTTTTCAATTCAAGTGTTACTTTAAAAACCCTCGCTTCCAGCTACCGCAAAATGTACCGTGAACCGATGACATAACGCGCGTGATTAGTGTAAGTACAGGCATCAACGGGGTAAATTTGGCTCATCATATCTCTACAATAAACACGTTGACCTATCTTTTTTATTATATTTTTAGAGACAGACATTGTAAGGAAAGTTAAAAAAAAATTGTACGACAACTTTTTTTCCGAGGGATCAACTTAAGTACAGGCGAGCGACAAAGTGACTCCACGCCGTGTAAACTCTGGGAGCAAGGCGTGCTAAAGAAATAAAATACGCGCCGAGTGCATTGTTGAGTTATAACAATTTTTAAGAACACAAGAGAAGTGCGGAGAAAGACGAGCCGAAGGCTCGACAATGCTCGAGGAACAAGTTTTTTTATTTCTTTTATGAAAAGTATCGTGAATTGCGCGCGCTCGTACCGATGACATAGGCTGCGTGCATTATATCTCAACAGTGCACCCGTGTGACGTAAGGCGCGTGCTTTATGGAAATATAATGAGCTCGTTCTGACCAATCACGGCGCGCGCATTTCTCTGAACATTTTATAATCAGTTATAAACTCGTGCGATGAACAACACGGAGAAAGTTTGATTCTCTGGGATTGTTAAATTGGGTTTCGTTCCCATGATATTTCCCTTCATGTAAACATTACCTTCTCTACTTGAACTTGGAGTGACACTTGTTCCTCTCTACCAAAACAGAATTTAAAGAAAGTAATCAAAACTTCGTTCAAATTGGACAGAATCACAGCCTAGTATTACATTAAAAAAACTGCAAACATTTATTCCAAGAAAATTTTCCTTTACCGAATGCGCCTTGGAACCTGACGAAAACGCTCATGTAAACGCTACATAGCCAGGAAAGGTGTCATTAAGAACAACAGTAAAGTGTAAATGTAAATCTTCACATAGCAAAGCCAAGCATGGCAAATAAAAGAACTCAAACGATGCAGTAATCCTTCAAAAATGCAATGTATTTCTAAACACGTTCCTGATGCCTCTGGTATATCGTATAAATGAACTTTTGGAATCAGCTTCTCAAAACTAGTTGGTGTCTCTTGTTATTTCCAGTCACAAAGATTGTTGGACAATTAGAAAGTACACCAACAGTATACACAGCAATATAAAATCACACTCCTTTTACAGTATACCTTAGTTTTGTTATTATATTTTGAAGTCTTTGATTCTCCTTCTTCATCTCCAGCATATCTGGATGAGTAAAAAAGTGAAAGGTAACAGATAAACATTCAGGAGTCCATGGATGCCCATGTCAAACAACATGTTGTGATGAATTGCACAAATTATTTCATTAGTAAACAGATGTCAAGAGAATATTATTTTTGTTAACCAGCACCTCAGAAAAAAAATCTGCAATTTGTAATTGGCAACACAAGACACATTGCCTCTCAATGATACCTATCCTGTATGTCAGAATTAATTTTTTTTTTTTGGCACATAATTTATTAATTTATTAACCAAAATGACATATGTATTGCATGTTGTGTTTTGAAAACCCACAGTCCAACAAATACATGTAAGTAAAACATCACCTGATTTCTCTTCCTGTTTGACAGCTAGAAGTTTCTTTTCACATTGCTCAGATACTGTGACTAGCATGCTCTGAGAAAGATGACAAATGCAAGTGATGATAGGTTTTGGTCCAACAAAACATATACAGCTTTACAGAGCCCCATTCCCTCTTCTATAGCAAGAATGACGTCAAACTTGTTACCCCTTTATTTGGAATTTTCTGACTTTTTATTTTAGCCAAATGTTGTGGTTCATTTAACAAGTTTTAGAAATACATATTTTCTATGGAGTTTGGACTCTAGCCCCTTCTTTCCATAAAAGAATGTGTCACAACACAAACTGCATGCAAATAAAATGACAAATTTCAGAAAATCTACATTGCTTGATCACGTGGTGGTCTAGAATATAGCTAATTTTAAGCAATTAACTTTAATTTAATTGTCTCATCTCCGCATTTGCTTTGATGAAGGGCTACTACTCAAAACATCAGCTTAGAAACTCTTTAAGGTGGCCAATTTATGTTTATCAATTGATCACACCAAATTACCTTGTTATACTCTCCTACTGATGCAGCACCCCAGTTTCTTTAGAAACTTACCCCCTTTATTTAAAAAATGGTACCTTAGTCAGACTTTTATGATTGAAATATAAAGTACATATAAATAACCTGCAGTATTATCAAATTTAGATGGAAGTACCTTCAAAGGTTCCAGTTCCCTGATCTTCTCCCTCTGATGAATCAACATCATCTCATACTCATGCTTTATTGCTGATAACAGAGGCTTGTAAGTCTTGAAGTCTTCTATTAAATATTCAAATACCTCCCTAAAAGCCTGAGAGAAAATATAACAAAACAACTTAAAAAAAATCATTGTGCTCAATATTATCATCGTCATTCTCCATAGTAAAAGACATACACAAGTGTTATGATTTTACCCACCATTTCACTATTTAACCCATTACACCCTAACACCAGAATACAAATTCTCCATACTGTTCTATATACATTTCTTAAGGTGCAGACAAGGAGACTTTGTGTTAAAAATCAAGAACTTCTTTAGGTGATGATCATTTCATTTACTTTAGTGACCTTAATGTTTAAATAAAGGGGTGAAATTGTAAGGAGAACATAGATACTGGTCACTCTTATTAGTCTAAATGTAAATAAATCAAATGGTAGAAACAAACATTCCATAATGACTACCACAAAACCCGTGCTTTTTTACCTGGTGGTAGATAGGTTTTTCACATTTTAACTATCTATTAAATTTTTTTTAACCCTCTAACTCCCAAGATCTCATCAGTAATTCTCCTTACTGTCTGCCGTACAGTTCTTGTGATGTTAGTTTGGAGAATTTGGGATTGGATTGACTTATAATCCCCTAATTGATATTTTTCTTTATTCGCATCGCTTGCCTTCTTGATATTGTATTGATATTGTAAGGAGAGATTCTGTCTTGGTCCCTCATGGGGGTTCAAGGGTTAAATTGTTTCTTTCCAGTCTACATGTACCCTACCTTTAAGTTACTCTTCAATTTATGTTTTTTTCATTTTTGAGAAATCATGAAAGAATAGATGTCCCATACAAGATAATGTTCTTTTATGAATAGTTGACCTGAGCCAGTTGACATGTCAATCCTATGCTCCTCTGCTTAAATCAACACGTATGTAAATAAATGTATGTTTAGGAAAAAACATATTATTTTCAATAAGAAACACACCTGTAATCTTTTTTCACTTGGAACCATTTCTGCACAATCTAAAGAGCGCAATTCTTTTTGCAAGAAAGCCTCTAATTGTTCCAGGAACTTTGGCTTATGCACTCCCTTTGGCATGAATTCATTACTCTGTTTGGCCACCCCAGGGTTGAGATCTGGGGCACTGGGACCAAGAGCATGTGCTGGCCATGTGTCCAAAGTCCCTGCCCTGGTGTCTATATAGGGCTAAAAGAAATAGAAAGAAAGAAAATGTATTTATAAACTATTGACATGGGATGCATTTGTCATTATCTACAGTCATTCTGGTTTTACGTGGAAAATAATAAATTCAATTGCTGACTCCTAAAAATGCAGGAATGAAACAGAAAAATAAAAGCAGAAAAAAAAACACAGAATATTGTGTGACATCATCCATCCAAGCAGTAACCCTATATAATGGATTGAATATACATGTATAGGACTCAATACATTAACCCCCTTAAAACAGGTGTATATACTTTTACCTAGTAGTCGGATACATCAAGTATCAAAAGGAATTCATAAACCAATAGATCTACTGAAAGAAGGACAGTACCTGCAGTACAGCCGCTGAAGGGAGAGCAAACTTTGTACTACCAGATGGGCCAGTCAGGCTATAACTTGATCCACTCAGTCCAGTGTACTGTTTTACAGTTTTGCCATTTGTGTTGGGTTGAGGATATGTTGTCAGGGAGCTTTGGAATGAATAAGTCAGAACACACTTCTGAGTCAATTCATTAAAGTTTTAGCCAGCCCTTATGTGCTACTTGAGTGCTTACGATTTCAATTGAGTGAAAGTTGATGAGGGAAAAATCCTAGTCAGCAACCACACTAAGAAACCTGAAGAAAATAATCTGGTGTTTTAAGATAAAACTAGGTTACTCACTCTAGTTACCTGATAGCATGGAATGGATAATAAATAGCAAAGTTAATAAGACTGCAGCATTTTTAATAGAACACTTGAAGATTTAAAATAATGGTGCATACCTACTGGTTGTATTTGGTGGAATGCATTTATGAAGATATTCCCTGTGAATACTAGCATCTTACTAGATTCATTATCATTTTAAAGTAACCTTTACACTCTTAGGAGTCCACAAAACAGCATATGTTCTAACCTTACAATATCTTTCATGCTCACTGAATTGTCAAAACTTAAGTTAGAAGAAATTTACCACAGAGAGTGCAGAGAAATGACATTTATAGTATTTGTGTGAAGGCTGTGTAAGCAACTATAAGGAGGAGAAAGCTACATAACACACGGATCATGCAATCCTAAGGAATTTACGTTCCAATATTCCATTTAAAAACGTAAAAAAGAGGATTTACTGCGGGAAAATTTTCAAAATCCCACTAAACCCATAATCGCTTTCAGTAACTCACGGTCTCACTTAAGTTTCAAGATTCCCTCTGGACAACTTGGACATTGTATTTAGTAAGATCTTTGGTATTAAAATCCATTATGTGCCGAGGGTTTATATCGAATAACCTACAAACAATTAGTCTTACAGCTGTATGTGCACGTAGGAATCTGAAGTAAGATCCTTAGAAGGTAGATATCTGTTTTTTACTTAGCCTAAAATCCTACGAATATCCAAAAATGCCAACTAAATAATTTCTGGTTTGTACGACTTAGTACAACTCTCGATTGCCGTCTTCACTTTCTTCCATTCCAGTTGATTACGAGAGGGAGGACCAGATTGCACGATGCGTCCTAAAAATAGATAACAATAGACACTTACGGTGGTAGAGGGGGCAGTTTCGTGTGTGACATGATGCTGCTTCCTACAACATTCGGTTCATCATCCAGCATGAGATCTACACTGCAACCTCTGCGGCCATTTTGTTTTGTTGACTTGGTAACCGTTGCGACCATGAAAACTGATTCCCAAGCTTCTCGCGTCCACGCGTTCTTCGTTTTCTTTGTTCCCAATCTCTCTCTTTCGGCAGTGTACTTTTTGTCTCCTTTTGCCTCCTTATGTAATCATTGTTGCAAACAAATTTCACCAATCTTACAGTTTAAAGAAACAATTCCGACAACGATGACGTATATTATTAAAAAACGAAAGGAAAGGAAAAAAGTTATGATAACAAAAGTTAGCTTAGGAAAACATGACCTATAAATTTTTAGCTATAGTTTTTTAAACATGATATTTTTTCTTCGTCATACGAAAATTGTAATTTTGTTTGCTCCAGATAAATCGGGATTATTGAATTCATAAATGATTTATTTCGGTCTATACGTCTTACCTATTAACTCGCGCAAGTTAAGTAAACGTTTTTTGTCATTCTGTTCGTTTTGTTTTGTTTTTTTTAATTTCTGTTTTGTCTGTTCGCTATTTATTTATAATTTTTAGTATTCTGCAAAAATTTTATCGTATCATTTCCACTGTTATTCAGTCTTTGATTATATAATTCTCCCTGCTGCAGTTAGAAACGTAATATCCAAAAATGAATGACAGGTTTTTCAAAGAAAGGAAACTTCTTAACTTGTGACAGTTTATGCTTCTTCAAATATTCAAATGACGTACGAAACGGTGGATGATAAATGACGTGTATTCAAAATGCAATTCTAACAACTTCCGCCCCGGAGCGATCATTAACGAAGCAAACCCATTCTCAACCGAAATTAGGCGGTATAATTTAAGATTTTTAATAATTTTATTCTTCCAATTGACTAAATGGTTATGAGTGGACGATGTCCGCCGAAACAGATTGTAAAACTCCATTGAGGCTTCATCTTGTGCGAGTTTCGCCGTGTTGTCGAATGATCTGGCTGTATGCACTGCAGGTAAGGCCGGAAAGTAAATATTCACAGCATCTCTTCGCGTAAACTTAAATTCTCTAATCGTAATGCAATCAGCTACGATTATATGGCCTCGGAAGAAAACAAACTTAACAATGGCAATACTGAAATATTACATTCGCACCAATCCAGCTGTATTTGGTCTTGTAACAAGGAAACAAGTCTGGTGTTTTGTCGAAGTCTTAAATCCACAACCATTGCTTGCGGCATTGCTTCTTATGCTATGTCTTAAAAGCTTGTTTTAACTTAGAGCGGCCAAACTTTTTCGCTAATCGGTTATCCAATTTTGCAAAAAGTCTCGCAGCCGGTATAATTTTATTCCTCGTTGTCATACTTTTCGCTAAAACATCTTGCAGAATCTCAGTACTCTCGCATAAGCTCAGACTTCGATAATCCGTCTTTCAAAAGGGTAGATTGCCACGATCAAAGGCAAGATAAATTGTTTATCATAAATTGAATAAATGTCTGGTGCGGAATGAAAAATCGCATTTTATTCGTTATTTTATCAATTACGGTTTGTACTTTTTGCATCTCATTTCAATTTCACAGTTGGCGGTTTAATTAGGTTTTTGAAGAATATGGTAAAAAGTCAGAGGAAAATGAAAATAAGACTTCCAAAAACTCTAAAATGATTGATTTTTCCAGAAAAATATCATCTATGAAAATTTAGAATCCAGGAAATAATTCAAGTCCTCAATATTTCCTCTTCGTTTTAATATTGGTCCAGTGCATGCATGAGATAATTTACATTCTTGTTTCTTTGATCTCATCCAGCACAAAATACCTTGCGAATTAACAGACGTTAATGTCTTTAACGGAGAACACCGTGAGCCGAAGTTCGTGGCGATGAATCCACACGAAGAAGTTCCGATACTGACTGATGGAAGCACTACGGTTTTTGGAGGGTTTGTGTCAGATTATTCTCACGTTTTATTGAGCTAGCCTTAGGCGACAAATTTGCATACATGTTTTTTAGTAATTAATTTTTAAAGTTATTTGACCAAAAAAACTTATTTTCCTCAGTCAATCGCGTGACGGACTGAGGTAAAAATATTTCAACTGCCCCTGATTAAGGCCTACTCTGAGACCTTAAGTCGCCTTAAGTCGCCTTAAGTCGCCTTAAGTCACCTAAAGTCGCCCAAAGTCGCCTAAAGTCACCTTGAGTCGCCTTAAGTTTCCTTAGGTTGCTATTGGTTACGCAATGTCATATGGGTTCCACCCTTACCAATTTACCCTATCCACTCCACTCCAACCATAGTTTTCTGCAGCTAGAAAAGTAGTTGGAGAGACTGGAAAGGAAGTAGTTTTACGAAGGACCTTAGCATTTGGTTCTCAGTATGGTATTGGGGTGTTTTGTCTAACTGAGGCAGGAGAACAACAAATTGGTTGGGTCACTGAAAAGGACCCGTGCAATTTTGGATGCTGTTGGAAAGGCAGGCGACTTGCCAAACTTTCATGCTAAAATTGACGGTGCAAGTGCCAAAAATATGGGAGACAAGTTAACAATTATTATAATTTGTGGAGCTTTGTGAAATAATAAATACACGTAAATAATCATGTTATTTTTAATCAATTATGTGGAAAATTTATGGATAGTTTCATCAAAGTTGTGCCTCTTTTCTTAAATTAAAAATTGATGGCACTATGTGTATATTTATGATAGGTTTGCTTGATGTTGGGCATATAGCCCATGATGTTTTCCTGGCTATTTATTTACTAGCTTTGACTGTATAATTTTATAATAGCCGTTGTGGTAATTCTGTCTGAACATTTTTAGCTAAATTGATTTGAAATATGGATATTTTAGACTACGGTGACTTATGAGCATACCTAAGTAACCGAAACGACTGTTGTGTTTATTGCAAGGGATTCTGTAGACATTTTAAAAGTTTATGGAGAGACTGTTGCTAACTTTGGTTTTATCGCTTGAGTCAAATAAAATCGCTTTAAGTCGCCTCAAGTCGCCTTAAATCGCCTAAAGTCGCAATATTTTTTGTGCCGATTTTGCTTAAGTCACCTTAAGTCGCCTTAAATCGCCTAAAGTCGCCTAAAGTTACGGCGACTTAAGGTCCCAAAGCGCAAATAATTTTGATCTCATTCCATCTTTTAGGATAGCGATACTACGTTACTTTGCTCAGAAATACACAGACTTTGCCGGCTGGGGAAAAACAAGCGAAGACCGCTACAGGGTGCATTCAGTTCTAGACTGGGCCAGCTCCAAGTTGTTAGAGTAAGTTTGAATGATGCCACCACTTTTGTGTTTATAGGTTTTCGGACCTTTAATGGTGCTTGCCCTTGGGAACTTTGACCAGAAAATCATCGCTAGATAAAACCGTTGATTATTGTTGCTTCATTGCTCCATGCATGCTTTTTGATATGAAAGAGGAACTCAGAGTTTCAACCAATTAGATTTAAGGCTTGTTTAAAGTAACCGTTCAAATTGCAGGAAAATGAAAGACAAAGAGTATCATGTGGCAAATTTTGCAACTTTTGTTTCTTAACTCTTACTTTTTCCCCCCAAAAAATGGACATGAATTTAATTCAGACCGGCTCAGTATTGCATCAATAAAATGTTTAAACTGACCAAGTCCTGTATTTAGTCGGCAATTTTGAAATGGATGTAATAAAGTGGTAATTGAACCTCGTGTCGTGCAATTTTGGTCTGAAATCATACGCGTGATTTCAAATCGAACTTGCGCTGCGCGCTCGTTCGATTTTGAAATCACGCGTATAATTTCAGCCCAAATTGCATTTCACTCAGTTCAATTACCATTATAAATCTAATCGCAACCTTTCCATCATGATTACTCTTCTGTGGTTTTTCTTAAATGTAGTGTTCTAGGCTACAAATACGTGTATCCTCAGTTGCTGGAAAGATATCACCTTCCGAACGAGGCCGCCACAGAGGAACTAGTCGATAAAGGATTGTCAGAGGCCAGTGAACTCCTAGAAGCCTTAGAGAACTACTATCTTGGAGACAATCCATTCTTGTGCGGATCTGAACTAACTGTGGCTGATAGTTACGTTGCAACCATCCTATGTCAGGCAGAGTGGGTTGACTTTGACTTCAAACTCTGGCCCAGGCTCTGGGAGTGGCTAACGAGGGTCAAAGGTCAAGAACATTGGCGCGAGGTGCATTCTACGCATGACGAGTTCCTCCAGAAGCTTAAGAAAGATCACTCCATTGAAAGTGACTCGTCTTGAAGCAGCTCAATATACTAACTGCATTTGCAACGTCTTAATGTTCAACGACAATCATAGCGTAGGAAGTTTCCACCGTCCAACAGAAAAAATAGGTGCACACTGCGTACGTGTGTCTAGTACAAATTGAAATAACTGTATTAGTAAATAATTACATGCTTACAGCCTTTCTGCACTTTCAGTCTGTTTCAAGGGTATGCTGAATAGATATCAATGGGTGCATAAGTTAACCAAAGAGCAGTAGTTTTCAAAGAATTTTTCTGTATAAACTATGTAACAGTTAGAATAAGATTTCCGAGTTTTCTAAGCAAATCGATCCACGGGAGGGTTTCTAAACTAATCAGATTATGACTACCAAAGAACAGAATTTTGCAAATATTTAAGAAATAGCAAATATAATTTTAAAATGAGATCAGTTTATGGGAACGGAAATAACGGAAAGATATCAACACGGGGATTTCCGTAATATATTTAATTCTGTAAACCAAAGAAAGATACAATCTGGGTACAATTCGCGATGGCATTCCGATTATATTTGAAGCATTACCATATCAGACATAGAAAATAAAATGGATGCACGAATCACAAAAGGTCAATAGTAGATGTGAAATGTGAGCGCGTATGATCGGAACTCTATTCTGTATCAATAAATTACAAAATAATGGTTTACTCTCCGAAATAATCTTGCTTCGCCACCTCAGGCTCTCCTTAAGATACGACAATATACAAAACGCATGATTTCTACGACGATAAGCTTTCTCGTAACGTTTTCTTTTTCGAATTCAATTGGTTCCGAATATTCAAGGAGTTTCGCTCATCAAAAGAAATTTCCGACTTATCACATCAGGTCCTACGACAAAATATCGATGTCGCCACGCCACCTCACTCGTGTTACGCGATTACCTCATGTAAGCCTGTCATGTACGGTAAACTTCAAATAAACTATAACAGCATTACGTCATTTGTTGACGCACCTACTGAATCCTTTACTGCTCTTGCAAGGTGTCTGGTTGCTTCGCACTAGACACGAAAACTAACTTGTGAAAGATAGATGCCACGCCGCATTTTTTGTTTTGTTCTTCTTTCGTTTGTTTTGATTAATCATTATCTATCTTAGCCCGACAGTTAGAGAATTCTGTGGTCTTCTCTCCCTGTTATACCTCAGTAGAATGCCTTCTCATTGAGAGTGCCTTTTGGGGGATTGGCACGGGGAGACAATGGGCTCAGAGTAGCACGGTCAGAAAAAAAATGCTCATATTAACTTACTTGCAGTAAGTTTATTTGGTGGATGTATGCGAAATAATACATTTAAACGATGAAGTACGTTTAAAATCCTAATTAAATGCTATCACTTAATATCTATCCATATTTGAAATAAAAGAGAGATCTCTGAATATGTGAAGGCTACCTGGCTGAAATGGTTTATATGCAATAGGAGACGAGGAAAACTTTCTTCAGCCTTTGTAGGATTATGCTAAATACTATGAAATTACAAGGTGCACCCTTAGGGCATATCTGTGGTGTGCTTTTTTTTAAAAAGGGCTTCAACTATGTACTCCACTGACGTCGAAAAACGTGAATATAATATAATAGTATATTTGAAAATGTCGTTCCATAACACTGACAGAAGATGTCTTACAAATTTCTTCAGTTTCATGGGTGCATTTGTTGAATAAAGACCGAAAGATTAACTGTAGAGGACCTTAAAACGTTTATTTTAATCTAAAAGGTTTAAGACCCTAAAAAGTTTACCCTAATGTTACAAAATCTAGAAAGGCCTGTAGTGCTCTAAATCGATCGGTCTTAAATTGTTTAGAGTGATATACTCGTTCGTATCTATTGTTACTCTCAAACTACAGAGCTGTGGTATAAAAAGGACCATTAGGATACTGACGTGAACCAACGTAACGCAAAATCGTGACTGAAAAAACAAATACTTTTGTGTCATATGCTGCCTTTGAAAGGTCCTCCCTGTGGCAACGGGAGCTACTGCAATGCAGCCATCAATATCAGAGACAACACCATCAGTACACAGCTTGCGACTTGAACCGACACTCCAGGTGCAGAACTCTTTCGTTTAACGTCAGGTTCGTCTGACGCTTCACAGTTCACACAGTCCGCACAAACACGGCAGACCCCTTTATCTTTGAGAGAGTCTACAGCATATAAAGCTTCGGCACGGTTCGCTAAAAAAAAGAGGATAAAAAGGTGTTATTTTGCGAGGGATTCAGCGGTTTAGCATAATTCTTTTGACTTTATGAATTTTTTAACCCCATATATCCAATTCTTCCATATTTGTTCCTTCTGCCTGCGGTATATTTCCTTGAAATTTTGTTACGAGAATTTGGTACCATAATAATACCTGTTACAGTTTCTCTATCTTATCTCACCTGTTTTCTGAATAATGTGATGAGATTGGGGGGTGACATGGTACCCTCCTGACGGCTGGGAGTGGAAGAGTAGCTCGCGAATGTACACAAGCGAGAATTACAAGACGAAAAAGAAGGGGGGGTTTCAGATTGGCAAGAGGGGGGGTTTCAGATTGGCAAGAGGGGGGGAGGCTATTTAACTTCTTATAAAGAAGAACATTTTAAAATGGTCCATTGCCCAAAGTAGGTAAAACAGGTAAATAGTAGAGTGTAAACAAAATATGTGAAAAAGTGATGCTAAATCGTACAACTATTGTGTTAATTCTATTGTTTTCTTTTGTTTAACCACTATTTTGTACAACTTAGTGATTTTTAATGACTGTGAATATATGAAAGTTATAAAGTGTGATTTTTATTTCACAGATATACTGCTTGCAATCAAAATTCCTTCGTTGTCCCAAATTTTTAGTATATAAACAACCCGAACCCACCTGCTTTAATACTTGGTTCGACTGAATTTTCCTTTGACAAAATGCTTGTTTTATCAATAACCCAAGAAGTGATTAAACACGAAATAACAACAAGAAAATATTCCTTTTACAACTGAAGGAAAATCATTGGAAAATCAACTTATGGTTGTACGTGAATTAATTTTAATCATTACAAGGCAGATAAGAGGAGATATGAGGTGACGGAGGGGGTCATCGCGTAAATATTGAATAATGATGGTGGAGGGGAGGGTCACTTGCCATTTACATGTCTGAAGGCTCATAGAAATTTCGATCTTTTTAAAATTTCCTTCCCCTCCTTCTACATAAGAAAGGGACCGGTTCCTTAACCCTTAACAATCGAACATCAGTGCGCATATTCTTCATACTGTTCTATATACATTTCCTGGGCTACAAACAAGGAGAATTCGTTTATCAATCAGGAGCTTCTTTGAGAGGCGATCATTTCTTCATTCTCAAGACCTTACTGTTTGATTGAGGGCTTATACCGTAAGGAGAAATTATGTGCTAGGCACTCTTAATCCTTTCGCTCCCAAGATTTCATCAGTAATTCTCTCAACCGTCTGCCATACAATTCTTATGATGTTAGTTCGGAGAATTTGGTATAAGATCAACTAATAATCACCTAAATAATTTTTTTTCTTATTCTCATCACTTGTGTACTTGATATTGTAAGGATATTGGGGGGAGAAATTCTGTCTTGGTCATTCATGGGAGTTAAAGGGTTAAGGGTCCGAGGGTTAGTCAGTGTTGAACCACACTAAATTTGGTGACTAAATCCCATGTTTGTTAAGACCCACATCACGGAAAGCGCATTAAAGTAACTATGATAAGAGAGAAACAAATCATTTTTATTGCGAATATCATCTCGTACCTGGCTCGTAGTAGCTGTAAACGGATGCTGAAGAGGGCTGAGGTTTTCCTACGTCAAAAGCACGCTGAAACAACACTTTCACGCACACCTTTCGACTTGAAGGGATCTGTAATTCAAAAGAAAGGTTTGTTAATCAGCAACATGGTTTGGCCAACTCTTTTGCAGCTCATCCACACACATTAATACAATGGAATGTTTGTTCAAAATCCGTGTCGTCGAATGAGTCACTTTCATGAAGCTGTGACTCACACATCAAACATGGTAATCTCAATACTTTAAACAAAGTAATAACACCTTCAAAAATTGTTATCATGAACTGTAACCTAGTGTAAGTCACCTCGTCAAAGTAGAAAAGCACTTTGCGATCTTCCGTCTCGACACGCTTCAGCTTCAGAGATGGGTTCGACATAATCTGCAGAGAGAAACCGGCACACAGGTAAGTAATCTTAACTCCTTTTTTGACCAAGACCGCTATCTTCGCTACCAGCCTACCAGGTTGATAGGGACCAGTCAATATTTAGCGCCGGGGAGGGGAGGGAGGGGGCGGGGTCGAATTATTTTGGAAGGGATCACATGGTTTTCTAGGGGAACGGAGCAAGGTATCAG